GTATGCAGGTGGACACGCCAAGGAATGGGGGGTATGGGCGGCCTCCCAGGGCCCCAAGCCGGCAGACACGACTCCAAAAAAATAAAACCAAAAAGGGTGCCAGGTACTGTGATATTAAGTGTTTTGAGTGGGCCCCATTGTGTTGGGCCTGAAGGTGGTAGTGTCATCTGGTGTTAGGCCAGTCTGGGATCACCTCAGGATTGTGCTTCATTAGCTCCATTTTGCAAAGTCCCAGTTTCTAAGAAATAAACTCTGCCTATCTCTCCTTGGCATTGGTGCCTGAATTCCCATTGACTGAACTCAGAAGAGGAGTCTACTTTAAAAGTACCAAATAAGCCATCTCTTCTGCCTCGGTTATTTTTTCAGATGCCCGCACTCAGCGTGAGTTCGATGAGAGCCATATCATTACTGCACGCAAGATTGAACAGGTGAGGTGAGGTTACCATTTGTTTAAGCCATCCCTGGACTTTAGCAGTAAACTAAAACTGGCTTAAAAGGAAAGGGAATTGTTCTAGTCTCTCCTCTGCCCCTATCAAACATGTTTCATTTCTACCACTGGGGGGATGTGTTTTAACACAAGAGAAAAAGAAAAGGTGGCCTCAGCAACCCCAAGGATTGGGACATAGAAGGCGAGTATCAGGAAAAATATTGCACAAGACTACACATATTGTAGCACTGTCTTACAAAGAACAGTGCTGACATCTTTACCATTGAAGCTGATGAAGCAATCCCGAGCAGTTTATGTAACTCGGTCTTTCAGAATAAAGTACAAATGTAGTCTCCAAACGCATCCTGTAGCAACAGAGTGGTAACTTGCAGGATGTTTGTAGGGTTGATGCCTCAAGAAAAATGTGAATTTGTTCTCCTGATAGAGTTCTTATGTGATTTTGCTAGAGTCCTACAGGGGAGTATCTGGTACCGGATTTGGAGGAGTTGGAGTGTGTCAGATACTGTGTTGTGTATGATTGCGAGACCAGCTCTTTGGATTTCTGTGACAATGAGAAAGAGGAGAGTGAAAAAGGTACGTCAGCTGGCTTGCTTGTGACTCACGTCAGTCAAGACCTCATTGCAAGATAGATGGTCTTCACCTTCCTCATTTAGTTTTATGAGCTTGTTTCGAAGAGATCCAAATTATGCTCAGTTTTATTTGTGAATACTGTGATACACCTCTCTTTTCTTACTGACTATATTACATATGTTCTTAGGCTTCATAAACACAGGTTTTATTTTGAGGCTTCCTGGCAGGCCCAGTTCCCTGTCCTTGCACTGTTCCCCACAAAGTTCTTCAATGCATGTAAAGAAAAGATTTTTTTTTTCTCTTCCCCACACACATTTCACTGAGATTTGCCCTGTCTACCTATTCCCTTTTAGGGGCCAGTGCGTCTTCAGAGATTGAAAATGCTGAGTCAAGTTCCCTATGTTCATTGAGTGAGTACTTCCTTCTAAGGGTTATTAAAACCTGTCATATTATCATGTTTAAAATCACTGAGAAGGCTGAAGAATTGGAAATTTTTCCATGAACTTGTGCAGTCTTCCTTGAACCATGTAAATATTTGCCTTTCAAACATTCTTTGGCAAGGGGTTCTGTTATATGAAGAACTACTTGTTTGGTTGTTCTGAACCTGGCTCCTATTAGCATTATAAGAACTATTATAGTTTTGGCAAAGATTTACATCTAGGCTACACCCTGATTTCTAAGGGAAAAGTCTGAGACTATAAGGTGTGCAATTAATGTGTGTTCACAAATGCTGCGTAATGAGACATTATCAAAGCAAGGCATGAAGAATCAGAAGCAGGTTTCCATTGTGCTAATCCTAAAGCAATCATAGCTAGAGGCACCCTGGATGGATCTTGTGGGAGAATGAGGGGGAGCAACCACCTCTCACATAATTTGCATCACTGAAGATAATGTTTAAAATAGTTGGGAAAAAAAAGCGTTTAAGCCACCTCCTTCTCTCCCTTTTGTTTAAGGCAGACAAAAGTGGCAAAGAAAAGAGCCTCCATAAAAAGTAAGATGATTAGATTGAAACTACTAATACTGCCTTATTAAAGGAAGCTACTATAAGCATTTCCCAAAGGATCATGGGGAGAAAAAAAAATATTTGGACCTACAAAAGAAATCACGAGGAGAATAAGATCAAGAAAAGCTGTGAACGCCAGCATGCCTTATTCTGCAGCAGTGATTAAAGAATAAGTAGCATTTAACGAGGCTTTCTACAGACCATTAGATGAAATCCTAAACCCAGTGAAATCAAAAGAAGTTTGCTATCAGTGTCAGTGGCCCAGATTTAACCCCAGATGCTGATGGAGAGACTAAACCAGTGCTGGCAAATAGCTTTTTTTATCTCATTAGATGCTGAGGAAGGAACTGCTGTTCGATACGGCAAAGACTTAGAACAGTTCACCCGCCACCCTGTGCTCATCCTGAGGGGAGGATACAGGCGTTTTACAGCCTCCTATCATTTTCTAAGGACTCAGAAGTTATTCTGGATGCCTCAGGTGAGATTAGACTTTAATTTCCAAGTAGAAAACATTAGCATTCATATTCAACTGACGATGGTTAATGAATTCAAGTTAAATGATGTGAACATGAACCAGAGTAATTTCAAATACAGAATTTGAATGTACTTGGAGTTACTGTGCTTGCCCTGAGCCACACCACTAGGTCTTTTACAGCTACATTTTGTGTCTTTTCCTCTTTTATTGCATGGAAGAAAAGCTCATGAAAACAAACTGGGAAGCTTCCTGTGATGACATTGAAACTGGCCTATTAGAGAGTACCAATAACTAAACAAACATTACAGAGTGATTAAAAAAAAACAGGTTTCTCTAATCTCTTTTATATGTGGTTATCTGAGATATTAGAGAAGTAAATGTTTTTAGACAGATTCTGTGTCTATAAAACTTTTAATCTGCAAGGATCACAAAGCACACATGTTGGTGCCTGTTTCAACAGGCCCAGAAAGAAAACAGCCATCCACTGAAAGTTTGGCATCCTAATAATTTGGTTTTGCTTATAAAAATGATGTATTGAGTTTATTAAAAGCAATTACCCTCATTTTACATCCATGGCAATATACAAAAAGGGGCACTTTTAAAGGGCAGAGGACATATGATTGCAGTGTGTCTTTCATATTCATTATTCATAAAACTTCACATCTGGTTCAAATGAAAAAAAAAGCCCATGACGTGATGCTATCCTGTGGGATTTTAAAATGCAGAAGAAAATCCTTTTTTTTTTTTTGATGGGTTATAAACTGCTAAACTTCTCCATCAGATTCAGTTTGATACAGAATACTTCCTTGTCGCTCAGCTTAAGCTATTTTATTCTGCTGTAGCATTAGCTGAGTTTCAGTTATGATTACAGAGGCACAGTCAACTTCTGCATGTTGTTTGCTTCTCTTGGCACTTACCTGCTTTTATTGGCTTTCATGCAGCACCAATCAAAAGTAGCTGTGAACTTGCTTTGTGCCACCACCTCACACCTGCAGCTCTATCAGGCACAGATGATTTCACTGAGGCCTGCAGACTGTAACCAGATAATGACTCTGTTACACTGCTGTCCTCCATGCATTATAAAAATATATGTATTCTGCCTCCCATTTAACAATAATTTTAAGTAATGCCACAATGGCAGTAGTTAATTGCTCTCTACAAATCTAGTAAAGATTCCAGTATTTCAGAATGTTTAGATGACTAAATGACTCACTATACTAGAATGTGTCATGGGCTGCTGACTAAGCTTGTGTTCATTTCCTCACATTACTTCAGTTTAAGAACTTAAAAAGCTAATAAGAAAATATATGCTTTCTAAACGGAGCCCCTGGTTTCCCTCCACAGGAACTAGATAACTTGAAGCCATACCCAGTAGAGATACTGCCTGCAAAGTTATATATGGGCAATTTCGAACAGTCATGTGATCCAAAAATTCTCAAGGATTTGAAGATCAAAGTGCAAGTCAACATTTCTAAGCAGCCTTCAGCACTGTAAGTTAAGCAGCAGGTATATTCTCCTCAAGTGAATGTGCACATTTTTGCAAAGTTGTTTCACTGGTCCATTTAATGCTGTGTTCTCTTTTTCTAGGTTTGCAGAAGACAAGCTCCTCCATATATCTGTTCCAGATTCTCCCAATGCAGATCTTTTCTCTTCCTTTTCCACTATTTGTCATTTCATAGGTGAGTTGTTCCTGATCTGAAATACCTGAGATTTTGTTTACTCTCAGATATCAGATGGGAGTGACCACATCTTGCTCAGACAGAAGGGTTGTAATCTCTCAATATCAGTATACTCCCAGGCAAGTCTGCACCCCAATGGATGGATCTTTCATCAGCTTATGAAATAGCACTTGCTGCACACAATGGCCCTCCTGTTGAACAGATTTAGAACTAAAAGACTACCCTGTAGCCAAAAACATTATAACCAAAGTGTACAGTAAGAAATGACAACATGATACAAGCAAGAAAATAATATCTGAAGATGTGTTTTTCTAGTCCTAAATCCAATTTAATGACTAGCATGTATGGAAACTCAAACAGGACTCAGTTCCATACCCTACAATGCTTCAGAGGAAAGTCTACTTCTCACATCAGTATGTGGAAGCTCCCTAAATAGACTGTGAGAGTTTAGTAGCTGTAACCCTGAAAACAGTAGTCTATAGTAGATTATTTAAACAACATGGTAGCCTATAATAGATTAAACTGAAGCAATTATGAATGAACACTAGACTGAAGTTCTCCACATATCCTCAGAAGAGAGGAGGTGAGCTCATGTCAGGTATGTGTATGTGCGAGGCCATTTCTACCCGCAGAACTTAGAACACAGCTCGAATAACTCAGAAAATTCTACTTTATTTGATAAAAAAACTACCTCTCAACAGCAGTAAAGAAGTGGCCTTGGCCTACAAGTTCTAGAGTGCAATTGTTAGCATTCCAAAACATGTCATGCTGTCTGCTCTGGAGAGGGAGGGAAAAAATTCAAAAGATTAATTGTAAAATACTATAGAACCTGTATTTTATATGAGTGATGACATCCTCTTAAAGCAAAGTGGTGATTTGTAAAAATGAATTTGTTAATCTTAGCAATAATCATTAGCCAATATCCAGAACATAATAAAAACACCACCCTACCTGGCAGATGCATGTTTTCTGCTGGTGATCCCCACAGAGGGATAAGGTACATGAAGTCTAAGTCCCTTCCAGCTCTAGAGCTGATTCCTTCACCTTGAGCATAGAACACTGATAAGACATTGCTGATGCATTGGTCAGAAATGCTGGTATCTTTATTCTCATCTGAGAAGAAAGTGGGTGGCTGATTTGATGTTGACTACAACTTATGAGTCATCCTAAGCCACTTTCATCACAGTTACAAAAAGGTGAAACTGATCTGTCTTGAAGCATTGACTGGTCATTGTCATTTGATTCTCATCTTCTCAGCCAATTTTTAGCTCAATGAGTTTCTAACAAAAGACAAACGTTTACAAAACCATGACCTGGCAGTGCCCATCTGTTCCTGTCAGGGTTCATGAGCGCTCCTGTCTCTCAGGCTAGTAATCTGTCAGCTTTCACCGCATCTTTATTTACAATTGGAAGCTTTTTTTTTTTTTTTTTTCTCCTTCCCTTCCCTGTATCACTAATGTGGCATTTCTTTATTCAGACGCTCAGATAAATTATGGAGCAGTGCTGGTGTACTCTAACCTGGGGATAAGCCGGAGCAGCACAGTAATCATGGCCTATCTTATGCATTCCTCACAATTTACCCTGAAGGTACATCACTTTCATACTTCCCACAGATGCTGACTAGGTCTATAATTTATTTCTGTTCCTGAAATCTTCCTGATAAGGAATAAATTATCTGTGCTTTCATACAAACTGTCTACTTGATAATGTAATAGATTTTATTCTATCAGACTGTCTTATTTATACCATTAAAAACCAAATTTGGGATCTATGACTTCTTAATGTGGCATCTATAATATTCCTGTGTTTCCTGTCTTAGCTACAGGGCTACAAAAATAACACAACGGTTACAGTTTTTAGGAGTTCTGCTTTCCTGGATCTGAGAATGAGACTACTAGGAAGCTACTTGAGTTGATCCCATCTCTTACTACCATGGGGCTACAGGGAGGTTCAGACTCTAGTACTTACAGAACTCTGACCCAATCATTTTCCTTAGAAAAAAAAAAAAATCTATTTTTTTCCCTGGAAGCAATCCCCTCTCATTGATATTACCATAGGGAACTCTGGAATGAGATAATACTAGACCAGGAGGAATCTGGTTTAAAGAGCCAGTACATTCCATTCCATAGCTCTTGAATTACACAAGAAAAGTAAGGAAGGTTGATAATTACCCAGCTGTGTACTAGACTGGCTGCTTTTACCAGACTTGGGGTCCTTTTTGACTTTGCCGACAACATACCAGTGTTGTGCTGTTACAGGCAACATTTCACTTCGCACCAGCCAGGCTGGCATTATCTGATCAAGGGAATTGAAAGATGGCTCCTTAAAAATGCTGTCTTTGTTTAAAAAGCAGCTTTCTCCTGTGGGAACTTGAAGGCTTTCAATGAAGCTGGGCATATACCTAATCATTTAATTGATTATGTGCAAGCATTTGCAACATAAGAGGAAATTGCCTACGTGCCAAAGGGTAATTTCTGGTTGAATGTGCCAGCAGGGCACTAGATATTATCAGGCCTCCCATACTAATGCTGGGTGTGATTGCTCCTGCAGACTGATAACCATTTCCTTGCTGTTTGCCCCTGCTTGCTGCTGCAGTGCAAAAAGTCAAAGGCTGATCATTGCAATTTCTCTCAGCAGGTTGGTCTCAGCATCTTGTCGAGTAGGGGAAAGAAAAAAAAAAAAAAAAGAGGGGTAGGGGGCAAAACCATAGCAGATTCCTGCAGCTACACTGTTGACCGGGCAAAGCTTTCCTGGGGGATTACCCTGGCAGACAAATGTGTTTGTTGCAGACTGGAGCAGTGCAGCAGGCTCCTGCGTGACTCTTCACCCAATGTAGGCAAAGATCTTTGAAAACTTTTAGTATGACTCCAGGACTCCCAAAGACATGGATTTTGCAAAAGAAGGGCATGTTCGGGACGTGAAGCCTGTTATTTGATTAGTATTTGGCGTGTTAGTAGGTCTACTGAGTTTGGGGGAACTATAGTTCATCTGTGCCTTGGGTTTAGAACAGTAAATATTGGATAATCAGCCTCAGAGCACGCAGAATCACTGAGATTAAAAAAACAAACTAATGGAGCACAATCTTTTAACCTTTGGTCTCATTACACTTAAGCAATCCTCTGATTGCTGGGGGAGCTGTTTTGTGAGTCAGATGAGCACTACCTGGTAAACCCAAAAAATAGCTGGAGCAAAGTGGGGTGCTGTCAGTGGGCCTGCCACTTACAGCAGAGTTATGGCTAATTACATGAAGCTAATAAATAATGAAGATGGCTTTAACACAGTGGGATAACCAGACAACTTTCCAGCTGCTTTGCCACGTCAGGTCACACTAATCCAGAAACACGATAACCTTTGTTGCTTAGCTGTAGATAGCTGATACTTCCATGAATGATAAACAAAGCACTGAAGAAATAGCATTTTGGTGTAGCCTGTGGTGGAAATTGAGGACTGCATCACGCAGTGTAAAATAATGCAAAATATGTGGCAGATAAAGCGAGAAGCTTGAGCTGAGCTTATAAAGATGAAAGGCTTCGAAGTTCTCATGTAGGTCCAGACTGTTCCTACTTTGGTAGCCACGTCCTTATCTACAGGTTTCTACTATCCAACACAGAATACCAAGAAAGTAAAAAAAAGCTGTGTAGCTCACAAGTGTAGCATCTTGGCATAAATACATGAGCTTTGCTTTCAGTTCAAATTCCTAACACCTCCTTTCTTCCTTTTTGTTTACAGGAAGCTTGGGAATACGTTCAGAAATGCAAAACAAATATGAGACCAAACCGGGGCTTTGTGAAACAACTTTCATATTGGGAGGCCCAAATCTATGGAATCACAATCACAGACATCACTGAACCAAAGTATTGACAGGCAGCAAGGAAACACCAGCAGGGAATGGTGCTTTCCTGTCTATGCAACAGCTGATCTCCAGGTAGAAAGAGACTTGAACTACATTTGAAAAACATCTTAACATTATAAAATAGCTTTCATCGTTAGCAGGCAGCATTTTGGGTCAAGTTGTGGAGACAAAAGGGAAACCTACTTGTGCTGTGGAAGATGGTGGTTTGGGGAAAGGAAAGCCAGAAGGATGAAGCCCCTTATTCACTACTTGTCTCTTTCATAAGAGAAGGTGATTATTATAACCACATTATCAGCCATACTCATTACCCTAGCTATAGGGAAATGACCAGAACTCTCTCTGAAAAAGTTTATCAGTCCACAGTGAAGGATGGTTATTTGAGAGATGGACTACACCTGGTTTCAGATGGAGAAGCAGAATTTCCTCATTTCAGAAGTTCCTCCATTCTGCACTGTCTTCTCAGAGCCTAGCAGACACCCAGATGCAGAAACAGCCTCTCACAGGCTTGCAGATGGGGTGCTATGAGGCCAGCCTGCTTACCAGGACCTCATACATATCTTCTTTTTACCTTTCTATATATAACAACTCCTTTTTTTTTTTCCTTTTATTTTTTGATGACAGAGAACTTTGAAGCCTCTATCTTGTTGCATAAAACCTAAATTTGCGCTCTTCTCTTTTTGCACTGTACCTTTTCTGTATTAACACCACAAAAATAAAACATTACAGAAAATTCTCAAGGGCACTCATTACACTCTGTGCTTGAAAAAAGCACTTGGGAAAAAAAAAAAAAAAAACACTTGGAAGCCCAGCGTGGCTATCCGGGGACAGCATCAGCCCTTACCTCCACGTTCACAAACTTCCATCAAGGCTGCTGAAAAGTGCAAGCTTCGGGGGGAAGGATACCCATCCCCGGAGCCTCAGCACAGTGTCTGCAGTGTGAGCGGGGGGTGGGAAGAGCACCAAGGGCGCCCCGGTCCCCTCCAGGCCGTTGCTCGCCCCGAAAATCGCCCCGGGGGGACCGGGGTCCTCCGCCCCTGCA